TTTGTGGATATGCAAGCTGTAAGGAAAGTTTGTGGATACGCAAGCTGTAAGGAAAGTTTGTGGATACGCAAGATGTAAGGAAAGGTCTTGCGTATCCACAAAGCCCGCCTTGAATTCCCCGTAAATCAATAATGTCTACATAGTGTACCTTTTGTTTATATAAATTTCTCTGTAAACCCACTATGGTGATGACCCGTTCAAAGTTTCAGAAGTAAAGATGAAGCTGTTTGATTAACACATCTTGTGAATCCACAAACTTTTCTTACATCTTGTGAATCCACAAACTTTCCTTACATCTTGTGTATCCACAAACTTTCCTTACATCTTGTGAATCCACAAACTTTCCTTATCTCTTGTGTATCCACAAACTTTCCTTACCTCTTGTGTATCCACAAACTTTCCTTACATTTTGTGAATCCACAAACTTTCCTTACATCTTGTGTATCCACAAACTTTCCTTACATCTTGTGTATCCACAAACTTTCCTTACCTCTTGTGAATCCACAAACTTTCCTTACATCTTGTGTACCCACAAACTTTCCTTACATCTTGTGAATCCACAAACTTTCCTTACCTCTTGTGAATCCACAAACTTTCCTTACATCTTGTGTATCCACAAACTTTCCTTACCTCTTGTGAATCCACAAACTTTCCTTACATCTTGTGTACCCACAAACTTTCCTTACATATGATGATGTCACTCCAATTCCTCTGTAAGCTCAGTAATGGTCTCCATAAAATACTCATTACTTGCTTTAAGTAGTCTATATAACAAGTATGACAGTGTTTTATCTAGTGTATTCATTTGGTTAAGGCGTTCGACTCGCAATCTGCGGGTCGCGGGTTCGAATCCCCGTCCCCGTACCACCAAAACTGCTCGCCTTTCAACCATACGAGCGATATAATGTGACGGTCAATTCTACTATTCGTTGGTAAAATAGTATCCCAAGAGTTGGCGGTGGGTGGTGATGACTAGCTGCCTTCCCTCTATTCCTTCACTACTAAATTTGGGAAGGCTAGCGCAGATAGACCTCGAGTAGCTTTGCGTGAAATTCAAGACAAACCAACCCAGAAAGGTTAAAGTAAGTAACGGGTACACTATGTGGAATATTACTTTCGTGAGTTTACAGAGACATTAGTTTATATAATATATAAGCTTTGTAAAACTTTACCATACTGAACTTACAGGGAAGTTGATATAAGCATAGTGTATGCTCTGTAAACAGTTGTTTGTTTACAAAGAAGGTATTGTAAATAATGTGTACAATATTTAGAATATTCTGACTTTACAGATAAATTAATAAAAGTAATGGTACATTATGTAAAATATTGCATATCTGAATTTACAGAGAAGGTAATGTACGTAAATGTGTTAACATTCCCTTTGCTAATTTACAGATACGTTAGTTAAAATAATGGGTATACTATGTAGAACATTATCCTACGGAGATTACAGAGAAGTTATTTTAAGTAATTGGAACCCTACCTAGCACATTATCATAGTGACTATAAAGAGAAGTTAATATAAATAATATGTACACTATGTCGGACTTTACCATGTTGTATTTAAAGATATTTTAATTAAGTGATCGGTACACGATGAAGAATATTATCTCACTGAGTTTACAAAGAAATTAATGTAAGTAATTAATATATTATATAAAACATTGTAATACTGAATTTACAGAGACGTTAGTGTAATTAACACACCGTTCTTATTAGAAATAAATACGACTACTGCCTTCTGATAAATACAACTTTTCATATCGTTGAAGCTGGAGTTTGTGGCCATATTTCTTGTCTTCAGTGTGAACTTAGACGCCTGAATTTAAGTAACAGTTTTCCAAACTTTTTACGTGATAGTTTATTTCAAACAAGGCTGTGTTTTGACTTACGCTTGTATCAGGGGTTAAGTATGTACATGTACACAGTCCGTTAATATCAAACAGTTCACACTGAAAGAAGCTACGGCTGAACACATTATTTCAGCATCTAGAGTGTCCAATTAAATACCTTCTGAAATCGGAGTTTTGGAAAAAAATATAACAATTACTTATAAAAATAAAATAAAAGAGACGCTGCTAATAAAAGATAAAAATCCTCCAACATTCACATTTTATAATATATACATATTTACTTTACATTATATCTATTTATCAAAAGCATAATGTTGCTCGTAAATTGTTGTAACACGTGACATCATGCTACAATAGGTACTTGCATTGTTGTAACACGTGACATCATGCTACAATAGGTACTGGCATTGTTGTAACACGTGACATCATGCTACAATAGTTACTTGCATTGTTGTAGCACGTGACATTATGTTACAATAGATATTTGCATTGTTGTAACACGTGACATCATGTTACAATAGGTACTTGCATGGTTGTAACACGTGACATCATGCTACAATAGGTACTTGCATTGTTGTAGCACGTGACATCATGTTACAATAGATATTTGCATTGTTGTAACACGTGACATCATGCTACAATAGGTACTGGCATTGTTGTAACACGTGACATCATGCTACAATAGGTACTGGCATTGTTGTAACACGTGACATCATGCTACAATAGGTACTTGCATTGTTGTAACACGTGACATCATGCTACAATAGGTACCGGCATTGTTGTAACACGTGACATCATGCTACAATAGTTACTTGTATTGTTGTAGCACGTGACATTATTTTACAATAGATATTTGCATTGTTGTAACACATGACATAATGTTACAATAGGTACTTGCATTGTTGTAACACGTGACATTATGTTACAATAGATATTTGCATTGTTGTAACACGTGACATCATGTTACAATAGGTACTTGCATTGTTGTAACACGTGACATCATGCTACAATAGGTATTTGCATTGTTGTAACACGTGACATCATGTTACAATAGATATTTGCATTGTTGTAACACGTGACATCATGCTACAATAGGTACTGGCATTGTTGTAACACGTGACATCATGCTACAATAGGTACTTGCATTGTTGTAACACGTGACATCATGCTACAATAGGTACTTGCATTGTTGTAGCACGTGACATCATATTACAAAAGATATTTGCATTGTTGTATCATATTACTTCCCATGTTTGAAATGTTTCTACTGTTGAATCGTCGGTTACATTAAAAGTTTTATTTAGTTGGAGTTTGTGACCGTATTCATTTTAATAAGGATCTGTATTCTTCAATGAGCACTTAAACACCTGACAGTTTTTCCACACATTTTACATAATAGTTTATTTCAAACACTTCCTCCTTTTATACGGAATAGCCATTTTCAATGAACATGTGTATTAAGGTTATCTGCCCCTGACCCTAATTTTCAACTACTGACCTGAGGGGAGGCACACGTTTAGCAGATTCTATTGTCCACTGTTTATGCTAATAATAACGCACGCACAATTTGAGGAGATATTTTTGTGGTATTGCTGGGGTTCTAACCCTGTTCGCCAGCTTCAAAATCCAAACATCTACTACAAGACCAATCCGCGATTCACTTTTCCTGAAATATTAGTGATATGTATTAGTACGTCAACATGATGCAAAAGCAGCGTTTATACAAAATATTTATAGTGCAGTTAATCTAGTATAAGTCAGAATTTTGAAAATGAGTTTAATGTATTAGTAAAAATGAAATATAATTTCAAATAACTAAGTAAAATGCTCCTTTTCTTAGGATATGTTTTACTTTAGTCACATGTGGTTTGTTATTCACTATTTGTATTTTACTTTTCCCACCTTGTGGTTTGTACCCTAGTTTTACTTGCGACGCTTTTTGTGTTTGGCTTTTTTTCTGGAATTTTATAAAAATGATATGTTACGTAAAGAGATGTTATTTTGATATTCTCTTTTCTTTAGATGTTAAAATTAACATAAATTATAAAGTTACGGCTAAGTACAAAGCTGTATCGGTTCAGAATTAATATTTTACGCTAATGGAATACATGAATCAAAATTCTGAAATCTTTGTTTACTTTACAACATATATATGTATTTATATCTTTATAGTCTCTTATACAAATCTTATACCTTTTATAAAACATTATATTTTCAAGGACTACTCAAAACATGCCAACTTATAAATTTAAGTAATATAAAGTTAAAAATAGCTAGGGACCATGTAACTTCAAAGTCTAATAGTCATTTGTATGTTTCCTAGTTAACCTTAAGTAAATAAAATGTTGGATGTAAACAGGTGATGATTAGTACATCACTAGAACATTCTAATGAAATTATGTTGTTTATATCCAATATTTTAGATACATAATGACCATTATCTTTCCATATTATGTAATAACATTAAATGGCTTCTCGGTATGTTAACTAACCAAATCTTGATGATGATTAAAAGGTGACTTTCCTAATATCTTACAAAATGAAAATTTTTAAACATTATCGCATTTCAGATGTACTAAAAAGAACCATTATTTTAATAAAGCAGAAAAACATCTTGGAATCAACAAACCAAGAATTTAATATAATCGAGTGGTAAACACATAAGCATGCTGAGCTGTTAAGACTATTTTAATGTAGTTCATACACAGGAGAAATTAATACAGAAGCTGAAACAAAACCGAACTCACTGTTATAAGTAAAATGAAATGTATTATCAAACACAAAAAATGTGCATTTAGAATTTTTTAATCATTTTTGATGCTTAATTATTAATCTTACTATACTTTCTTGAAAGTTTTTGTTTTCTGCACTACCGTTTCCCTTAGCTTTGTGTAAGCTTCTAAACTTACTTTCCTCACTTCCTCTGTTAGATTTTTGTAAGTTTGTATATTACCGTTTCACTTCCTCTCTTAGGCTTTTGTAGGTTTGTATATTACCGTTTCACTTCCTCTCTTAGGCTTTTGTAGGTTTGTATATTACCGTTTCACTTCTTCTGTTAGATTTTTGTAAGTTTGTATATTACCGTTTCACTTCCTCTCTTAGGCTTTTGTAGGTTTGTATATTACCGTTTCACTTCCTCTCTTAGGCTTCTGTAGGTTTGTATACTACCGTTTCACTTCCTCTCTTAGGCTTTTGTAGGTTTGTATATTACCGTTTCATTTCCTCTCTTAGGCTTTTGTAGGTTTGTATATTGCCGTTTCACTTCCTCTCTTAGGCTTTTGTATTTGTAGACTACAATTTCACTTCCTCTCTAGCATTTTTGTAAGTTTGTGGACTATGTTTGACTTCCTCTTTGAGGCTTTTGTAAGTTTCTAAACAACCGTTTCACTACCTCTTTTAAAAGGGTGCCTTTTCGACATATTCATGATCACATGCTTCTGAGAGAAACCATGGTGCCCATAAGTAAGTGGCAAGTTTTTTCTCCGTCTGTTCGTGAAGCTTTGCCATCGCTTTCCCCACACGGTAACTGGTTCTTTACTCGAACACACCCACAAACCGGTGGTCATCCCAACCACGAGTGACATAAAGATTTTAAGAGTGAAGAATTCCACCATCGGTCGTGAACCTGATCCGGCGACCAGCCACTGTTCTCGAGAAAAGTATTCATAGAAGTTGGCACCCAATACACAGGTAGCTGGAATAGTATATAACACGGCAAAAATCCCAATTCTAACTGTGTTAACGTCAAGTCTCTCTGACACATGGGAAGAACCGGAGCGAAATACACTTACAGTCCCGTAGATTAGGAATACTGATCCCATTAGAAGATAAGCGAAGGACGGGGCAATGACGAAAGCAATTAATGTGTTGCCACTGTGTGCTCCCACGTAACAAGTGCCTGTCAGCTCGTCAGCTTCAACTTCCCGCATAACCAAAATGGCGATAGTTTTCATGGATGGCAGAGCCCAGGCAGCTAAATGAAAGTAAGTACTTTGTCTCATGATGGCCTCGTGATTCCATCTTAGCTTGGCTGCGAGAAACCACGTCACAGTCAGAATCAACCACCAAACAGCACCAGCCATACTGAAGAAGTACAATAACATGAAGTTAATAGTACAATGAATATTATTCAGGCCTTCTTGGATCAAAATGGAAACTCCGTGTTGACTGTCCACATGACATGCAATTTCATCTCTGTGGATAACAAGTGGGGTAATATAAGCAATACTATAGACATTATAGGCAGCGCTAAGGTAAAGGATGGCTCTTTCGGGGTAGCGGGACTTGCTAGTATCTGCTAGAAAAGTAAGGACGGTGAAAAGAGTAGACAGAAAACATCCACTGGCCCACACCGCCACCCATATATCAGTAAAGTTCTTGTTGTCGTGCGTGAAAAGAATGTCTGCTGAACATTTCTGAGCACAACGGCGAGTTCTGTTGATGTAGTAGTAGAAGTGTGACATCTTGTAGTTCTCACAAAATCCATAATGCTGACTCCTGGGACCAATGGACGTTCCCTTCTCTCCACCCGAGATTTCCGGGTGGGTGTAACTAGGACTAAATGCTTGAACCTTACCCTTGAACTCAGAATTCAGGAGATGATTTTTTTCATAATTTTTGGCCTCAGGTCCGTCCATACACATATGATCCTGGTTGTTTATAAGTGGAAACTTGGAGCAATTAAGAGAGGCCGGCCAGTGAAACCCAAAGTTCTCCATCACCTGCTCACAGCGTGATTTGACACTTTCACAGAGAGGTCGACAGGGCCCTATGGTCTCTAACACTTTTTCGGTACACATGGGTAAGTAGACGGAACACAAAAAAAACCTTAGCTGTGAAGAACAGCCGTACTGAATTAAAGGCACAAAGGTCTGGAGCTGCAACACTGCTTCAGACTGTAACTCACTTCTCACCAAGTTCGGCATTCCAGTCTCATTGTAGCCCAGACCCTTGCACAAGTCTGAACGAATGGGCTCGCACGTGCGTGTTGGCGGGTAGCCATATGCAGTTAAAACAGCCAGGCAGAGGAAAACTGAAGCCGTAAGGGGGAGCTGGCGTCGTGTATCCAAGGTGGGCAGGGTCATGTTCTGAGAAAACTTATGCTAGGCTTAGACTTTCTATAGATCCAAATTTTTAGTTTTCAGAGCATGAATACACAGACATTATGCTCCAGTCGGTGGAATAAAGTACAGTTATTTTCGAATGTCACAAAATGGCTTGTAAAACTGGAAAAGTAAAGCCTGAAGACACGTCAAATAGATTGCACGTGACTTTTCTTATACTAGAACCATGTTTCTTGAAACACATTCCGTATATTCCACAGATTAAACTTAATTTTACATACGCGCGTGTGTGTCATCTCTACAAGATTGTATATATATATATATGCCGGAGTTGACCGCGAGCGCTCATTGCCCTGAGCTCAAGTTGCTCCCTGCTTGTTTAGCCAATCTGTGCCAGCATCACGACAAGAAAGTTACGCCCAAGCAGAAATGTTTGGTGATTGGTAGGAGTGTTCTTGTTAGTCAGGCGTGAGCGAGATATGCTGTTAAAGATAAGTTGTCTTTTTAATTGAAGTTTCATCAACCGACATCAGAGTGACTCAGTAAATAACTAAAATTAGATGTGGTGTTTTATGGTATAATAAGTTATGATGTTAGAGATAAGTTGTCTTTTTAACTGAAGTTTCATCAACCGACAGCAGAGTGACTCAGTAAATAACTAAAATTAGATGTGGTGTTTTATGGTATAATAAGTTATGATGTTAGAGATAAGTTGTCTTTTTAACTGAAGTTTCATCAACCGACAGCAGAGTGACTCAGTAAATAACTAAAATTAGATGTGGTGTTTTATGGTATAATAAGTTATGCTGTTAAAGATAAGTTGTCTTTTTAACTGAAGTTTCATCAACCGACATCAGAGTGACTCAGTAAATAACTAAAATTAGATGTGGTGTTTTATGGTATAATAAGTTGCTTCTCATAACTGCGTGGTTATTATTGTTTCCTTGGAGATTTGTTTTCGGACACAAAAACGTCGTGCAGTTCTCGTTCTGGTCTAATGAATATAAATTATGATTTTACAAACTTTCTGAGCAAATTATAAGACGACAGAGACTTAAAGACCAATAAAAACTGTGTAAATATTTTTAAAATGCTTTTTTGAGCCAAATGTTTCAGAATGGACTAAATTTGTGCACGATTCTATACGAAATCTAGGTAAGGTAACAACTCTCCCATCAGTTATATGATAGCGTTTCCAAGGTACTTTAAATTCACCACTAGAAAAAAAATATCTCTATTGGGTGCTTAAATACTTCTAATGTTCTAAACAAAAGATCATTAGTAACACTTGAATGTTGTTATTTGGATTAAGTACTTTAGTCTGACTGATTAGACTTGATAGCATGTCGTTATCTCCAATAAGCATTACTTCAGGAGGTAACCGTTTTAAAATCGACGACTACGCTAATTATCCCTGATGATGGTAACTGTGTTTCCAAAACTAGTTGACCGAAGTATCTAATAAAGATTTTATCGTTCATTGTACCAAAAAAACGTTGTTTTGATCTCTTACTCTTAATATAGTAGCACAATGTTTTTTAAAGGAAATTAAGTAATTTAACATATATTTCAATGGATACTCAACAGACTCTCGGACAGGGTTGGCCCTACTCAGGTTCCAGAGTTCCGTGACATTTCCTTAGTCGAGAGTCAGAGCGGGGCAGGCCAATTTCTTGAACTGTGTTCTGAAGCCAGAGTGGAGCGGGACCTGAGGACTCCGTCGCCAAAGTTGCTTCAGTACCTTGAACCAGAGTTGAGATTCCAGAGTTGCTCCACTGTTTCCTAACCTTTCTGTAAACTGAGTGGTTTATCTCGTACAATTTAAATTAGCAAAATATTCATAGATGTATACACGTCAAGCATGGAAGTCCCCAAATGAGTTTTCGGAATTATTGGATGTACTTTTAGAATTAATAAAATGCAGAAGGAGAACATACAGTGTAAATAAAAAGATTTCACCTGTTTATCAATAAAATCAAAATACCATACAGGTCTTACTAAAATAACAGTTCTAATATGTTAAACGTTATTGCATAGGAAATTCTCTTTTTCAATAAATACGTAGAAATTCATGCTTTATACAGTTTTAATTATACTGCTTTCTCTGACAACTAACATAATACTAATCAACAAAACAAGTAAATTCAGTATTTTAGATATATTAGAGCTTTTCGGAAGAGAAATCAAAACATTTATAGCGTAATCTGTAATTCTGTTACGCTAGATTGTACTATCTACGAAATTATATCTAACACTCTAGATTTCTCTGCGTCCTAATACTGTCTCTATCAAACTTCAGAAAACCTAAAGGTAAATGAGAGCTTTATGATTATTTACAGCAGTAACTTACTTCAAATATATAAGTTACCTTTAAAATGTTACAAGTAATATGTTAATGTATCTCTGTTTTCTTATAAGATAAAAACAATTGAAACTATTTAGTTGACCAATCTTTTTACATAAGGGTTCAATTAAAAAACTGAAAGCTCAAATTGATTGAAAACCCGAACTACGGAGGTATTCTTGATTGAATATATTGAAACTGAAAATAATAGAAATATAGAAATAATTGGCTACACTAAATACTATAGAAAATGGTTGATTAGAAACTTGATTAATTGTATTTTTTAAAATGCTTTTGTTTATTTAACCTTAAATCTATTTCAAAAGAAACGCTATTTACAACCTTTCAAACCTTTATTGTTTTATTTCATATTCTCACTGGTTTCAGTTTAGGTTATTTATTAATAAAAAATATGGAAATAGCTTCACATTAATGTTGATTTTGTTTAAAAAAGGTTACTGAAAAGTCTGTAAAAATAAACATATAAAAATTTAAATCAGATTTCACATTTTCAGATTTTCGCCCACTCTTGCTTCAAAACTTGGAGTAGATCGCTCTTCGAAGTTGGTTTTTTTTTGGTTGTTTCTTGACTTGCCGTTCGAGTATGGCCCAAAGGTTTTCGATGGGGTTCATGTCAGGAGATTGGCTCGGCCAGAGCAGCTTCTGGATACCATTGTCTTCCTGCCACTTTGGGTGTTTCTAGCAGTGTGACACGGTGCTCCATCTTCCTGGAACAACGTTGTGTTCTACGAAACCCTAGGAATAAAGTAGGCAAGAGTCCTTCCTCCAA